TTGCAATCACGTTTACGTATAATCGACAACAAAGAAATAACGTACAGCCCTTTACCAATAAACCGCCGTGCGGAGGGATTCCCCGAGCTGTGTCAGTCGGTCGTGGGAGTTCTTTGTCCCTAATCTGCCACACTGGGGAGGATAAGGGAGCGGTGGGTGAGGGGGGGAGGGTGTGTATGGAATGGGGAGCGGTGTCGCAGCGGTTAGCGCATTGCGCTACGAACCCGGCGACCCGGATTCGATTCCCCCTCATGCCCAGCACCAGTGACGATTATCTGAACTGATCCTGGGCCACCCCTAGGTCGACTCGGCTTCACATGAGTACCTGGTGAGGTATGTAAACATCACCTCTAGGGAGACAAAGGCGGCCAGGCGTGGTGCTGGCCACCCACCCCCTCCTGTGCGTTGCCGACTTTCATAGGTTTCATTTATTTCAAGTTTCATTTATTAGGTATAGCCCTGTGAGCCATGCGGCTCTTGAGTCGGGTGCAACCGCAACAAACACAATATGAACAGAGAACATCTTAAAGCGACGACGCGCAACAGAAACATCCTGGATAAACCAGCAACTCTTCCAGAATAAAAAACCCCCACCGTATTACAACGCTGTGTGCAAAAATCCCAGTGTGATGTAAGTCAAACTAACAGCACTTGCCCCAGCAGTCTAATGAATCTTTAAATGTATGTATATTGAACTTCTTTCACACCATACGTAGCCAACCGTGCTAATCGGTGGTGTGTGGGCTACAAGACTGGTTTGGCAGATTTCACTCACCACTGATCTTAATCCCGGATGGCAAGCAAATTCATAGCAGGTCGCCAGCTCCACAGCATAGTCAGCTGGTCGTAGTAAGAATACACTAAATTTGTAACACGGATATTTTTAGAATTCGGAGGTGCACAGTCAGAGCTCAGAGTCCCTCAAATGCAGAACATTACACCAAAGCCAACGCTGTCTAGAATTGATGAAAAGCCTCGCCTGACAGAAAAGATTGCACCAATGCTCCACTCCATTTTTTATTGAACAAATATAAACATAGTACATCAGCCTACTTGACTTGTGACACATTACCAAGTGGCATTTGTTTAAGCCGGTTTTTACCTTCTCGGTCTCATCAGTAGTCTGGCTTGTTAAACAAATGCTGCCGGAATACCAGACGTTTAATTTATTTCCTTTGTTATGAAAAAATATATATATAAATGTTTCACCTGCACAATTCCTCTAGATGCAAATCTCGTTTGCAAGAATGATGTCAATCATCACGTCCCTCGCAAACGCGCGACAAGAGACCTTACTGGCAAAGGCAATCCGTACGAGACATGGGTCCCCCATTCAACGTTTAAAAAAACCGCAAATACCGTAACGCGGGTCCATTAAGCGCCGCCGCAACGCACGATGATGTTGGCGAACGCGGCATTCTCACGAGGAATAAATAACATGACGGGGTGGGTGGTGGGACGGTCGATTGTGCGCCGTTCGACAGCGCTCTAGACTCGGCAAACGGCGCCTCCACCGCGACCGGTTCCACAAAGCGATTTTTATTATTAAATCCTTTATATTAAGTTCACTTGCTTGCTTGCTTGCACGCTTACGACCGTGCAAATATTTCGGTCGTTTTTTAACCCACTTCCCGTGATCCAATCGAGCTGACATTTTGCACACAGACTCGTTGTGCGAGACAATTATTTTCGTGAAAAAAATTCCAAAATTTTTCACTTTTTAGGAAAAAGTTTTTTATATTTAATTTAAAATACCAATGTGATAAAAATGAAACTCTTACTCGAGAAAAACAGAAATGAATAATAAAATAAAACCGATGCCACGCATATAAAGGATTTATAGTGAAAAACTTAGTTTTTACGGGTTAATTTTTTTATTTCTCGAGCCGAGGACATTTCCACCAAACACCACCCCCAACTCCACCGCCCGGACCCTGGGCCCCGCAACGCAACTCCGCTGGCCGACGAGTGGCGGATCGCGCGCTCCCCGTGTCCCTGACGTTGTGAAGAGACGACGTCTCGCCCGCACAAGCCCGGCATCCAAGTCAGAACCGCTCAGCTCACCGCGAAAAGGCCACGCGTAACGTCACCTGATGGGTGCATCCCACACGTCGCTTGCGCGATGTTAACGCCCATCAACAATTTTTATTTTTGTTTCTTTATTTATTTGGGGGGGGGGGGTGGGAGGTTGTCTTTATATATTTCTTTAATGTACCGTGAGGAGGCTCGCGCTCATTCGCACAAACATATGTGCGGCCAATTATACAAATGTTCATGAAGGAGCAGAGAGGATATTTAAGCGCTTATTCGTACGCGTGTGTCAAATCGGAAATTCATCTTGAGCGGTTGCCTGTGCCTCACTATCAATGCTTCCAACGGCATTATCATCACGTGAGATTCATAATCACCAAAACGACGTATTTCTGGTTTTATTCATAGGACCAATGAAATATATTTACGATGGATTCCATCCATATGCACTTAATCGTTACGACTCTGCCATTTATTTTAAAAAATGCACTATATGTTCTAATTATGAATTTTGGCTCAATTGCTTAATGTTACTGACATAGATTAACAACGGTACGCTAATATAAGGTGCTGATGTAAAAACGACATTAATTTAAACGAGTTGCGTGTTTGTTAATGGGTGTTGGGCCTGTCATCGTTTAGGGTGTTGTTATTCCACTCAACACAGTTGCAGGCCATTCTGTTTCAAAGCTGCACGTCTGTGCCTTCAAGAGAAATACAGTAAATGCTTCAAGTTTAAAACGCTCTTTTGGGTTAATTATCGAGAGACACATTCGTGTAATAACTCGAGAGTACGGACAAAGCAAGTAAAAAAAAACAACATACAAACAAGTTAATGACATGAGGGAGAATGTGACATGATGTCATGTAACAAGATGAACCTACTGCACGGTTTACAGTTGGGCGCTCTATGGAACGATATCCCGAGGGCATTAACAACACACAGCAGCGTTGGGGGGGGGTGCACAGGGAAGTGGTAAAGGGTTGTTGGGAGGGTGGGCAGGGGTGGTGGTACGGAAGACGATGGTGCGGGCGGTGCCCAATTTGATCTTTTTTTTGTTCTAAACGCAAACAAACCTCGCAAACGTTGCGACCGCCTGCGCTTGCCTGAGTAAGGCGTTGCCGCTTGGGTTACAATCACGTCTCAGGCTGCAACGCCACCCCCCTCTACCCCTCTACCCCTCTCGTGTCTGCCGCGATTCACTCGCTACAACCAGATTGACGAGCTCCCTGGGCCGTGGCGCGCGTGCACGTGTGCACGACGCGCGCGCACGTGCGCACGTGTGCACGACGCGCGCGCACGTGCGCACGACGCGCGCGCACACGTGACCGATCGACGGGTGAGACGTGGTTGTGACCCCCCCCCACCCCCGAGAGGAATTCGCTGGTCGCGGTGCCCGAGAAGGTGGCACTCGAGTGATGGTGGGGGAGGCAGGTGAGTAGCGGGGAATTGTGAGGTTGAGAAGCAGCAGAAGCGGTACAATTGGAAGTGGGTAGTTGGGGAGGGAGGAGGGGAAGGTGGGGCTGGTGCGGTGTTTGGAGGAGCGAGGTAGGGAGGGAGGGAGGGGGGAGACGAGTGGCTGAGGCCAGTGAACGCAAGGGTCATGGCACCGCTGGAAGGTATCGGGGGTGATGTGCCCCCCTCCTCTGCCCCCCGCCCTGGTTTGTTTTTCTTGCGCCGCGTTCATTCACTCGCGAGCGCGTTCATGCGCGGGGAGTCGTCATCATCGTCGTCGTCGCATCACGAGCGCGCCGCCCGGGTAAGAAGGTGAGCCAAGAGATCATAGCGTCCTCTACTCGCTGCCTGAAATTGAGTAGAATGTTCTTGGTTTTTTCGGTAAAGTCACGTAGAAGGGAAGTAATAAAATAATAAAAATAAAACATAATAAAATAAGTCTCACGACGTTTCGGCTACAACGCAAGCAGCCGTCTTCAGGTGAAGAATGAGACACTGCCAAGCTAGGAGCTTATATATGAGCTGAAGACGGCTGCTTGCGTTGTAGCCGAAACGTCGTGAGAATTATTTTATTATGTTTTATTTTTATTCTTTTATTACTTCCCTTCTACGTGACTTTACCGAAAAAACCAAGAAGATTAATCCCTGCAGTCACGAAAGCTTTAAATCGAAATTTGATTAGAATGTTCAGCGGTCTATTTTCTACTTTGTGACTTGTGCGGACCAACTAATTGACGTGATTTTTTCGTAAACAGGATATTTGTTAAGTTACGCAAGCACTGAAATTGTTGTTTTGTTGGCGTGCGGTTACTTTTAGACGAAATCTAAATAAGAATGGGAAACAATATGGCAAATGTTTTCATGAGTTTCTTTGAATAGTCATTGTTTAGGCAAAGCCACTCTGGGAATTTAGTGCGAGAAAAACATTGCTGCAGAAAACAGATTCTCACTGGGAGGGAAACGATACTTAAAATCTGTAGCTGTTTCGTGCAGATGTTTACAGGCTGAAGCACAATGCGTGTCTCCAACGAAAACGTCAAATTGTGAAATTTCTGTGAATCGTATGCCTTTAACGATGACGATTTACGCATATTAGAAAAGCTGCTTGTCCGTTTAATCGACTGAATTATTTAACATAGATATTTCGGTAAATGTATCAAAACTGTACGTGGCTCTGCGAACGCACACTTCTTTTAAATGTTCAACGATGCGACTTCCAGCGAATCGCTGAAGCAATAAACGACGGCATGAACGGATCCGTTACCTTACGGGTGTAACATCGCTTCGAAGAACGATTTCACCTCAAGCCAATGCAAACCTTGAGCTTCGGTGAACAGACCCCTACAGACGCGAGGAAAAACAAAAAATACCAACGAATGAAAACAACTACATTTTGCCGCCACGAACAAAGACGGGATGTGTGTGCACCATCGAGCCCGGCGTCATCGCCGTACGAACCGCGTGGCTGCAGTTGACGTTCTTTGACGCGCGCGCGCGACGCGTCTCGTTACAGTCGAACGGGATCATCGCTCTCATCGCCATCCTCGTCATCCTGCTGCTGGTGGCACTCGTCCTGCTCTGGTGGTTCCTCCCTCTCTGCTGCACCATTGTGAGTAGCAGCACCCCCCCCACCCCCCCATGTCCACAATCCCCCCCTTCTTCAAGCCGTCACCTTGGTCAAGTAAAAGCGATCGCGCGGTGCAATATCAAGCAGCCTTTAACACCGAGCAAAACTGGTCGGCAGATCATGAGCCGTGCTCTATATCTACTGCTGGATGAAGGCTGCACCCCCCCCCCCTCCCCAAGTCGTGGCAATCCCTCACAGTTATGCGTCCGGCTTCTGCAGGGCCAGTGATTTCGTCGCTGCGTCTCTCTGCGACCGATTCAGTCTCGGGCGTCTGCCCTCATTTTTGGCTGTCGCTTTGTCGTCCGTCATGACCGCGGGTGTCTTGTCAGCATCCATTATTACACAGCACCCGTTATAAAAAAGAAATGTAGGCGGCAGTCCAGAGAAATGCGTTTGAAAATGTATTAAAAATAATAATGATAAAAATAATAGTCTGAGATGAATGTCAGTAAGGTTATGGTAAACACTTGGATGCCAATAATTTAAGTCTCACTGGCAGAACAGTTACCAGAAATATTTTCTGCCCTATTGCCCAACACCCTCCGTGTGTTCCTGCACGGGCTTGGCTTGTAATGTGATAATTCACCCGTTTACTGCCCGACGATTGCTGCCAAATAGAAATGGCTGCACTAGTAAAACGTTTTACAAGATTCTTTTTCAAAGGTCGGTGTGTAACAAAGCACAATGCGAGAACACAATGGTTGCAAGCTTAAACATGCTATGGTTAAGTTTGACACGTTGAAAATCAGTTTTCTGGTGTATTCCTGAAAACAATATCTTAGCTTCATGAAAGGACCAATTTTGGAGATGTAGCACTTACGACGCCTGCTATGGATTTGGTATAAACACTCCATTATTATCGTACCATATTTAAACTACGTAGACCCCACCGTGGTGGTGGGGTGGGTGGCAAGAGCTTGAGTTGAGAAACTACCCTAAATTATGAATTCTAAAATAACTTAGGTCATTGTGCACATTTTTTGCGGCAAAAAAAGTAGCTCCCACGTGGTGCGTATATCCTCCTCCTTCTCGCATTGAGCCCCAAGCACTGCACCTCTCAACCTTAATTTTGGAGCTTTCGTGACTGCAGGAATTATTCTTTGTTTCTTTCGGTTAAGTCACGTCTAAAGATAAAATAATAAATTAAAATAATAGCATATTACGACGTTTCGATTGCAACACAAGCAATCATCATCAGGCATAAAAGAAATAGCAACAAAAATCTAACCAGAAAACTATAGACAGACATACAAGCAGACAGACATCACAACGGCACACAGAGAGAGGACACATATCGGCACCTCTCAACCTCTCAGCAAACCGTCGTCGAATGCAATGGTGGGGAGCAGGGGGAGGAGGGCAGGCTCGCTGGAAACTAGTGCTAGCGTAAGTCAATAATTACGCACGTGCAACACAACCGATCGCTCAGACAAAAAAAATTAACCCGTAAAAACAAAGTTTTTCACTCTAAATCCTTTATATGCGTGGCGGCTAGAGTCCTCTCGTCCTCTGGCTTGAGATGGCTGCCACCTATGGGTCAGATGATTGTCTGCCAGCATTAAGCAATTGGTAATTAAATATTTATTTATTTTCTCCTAAACAGTGTAACATTTTGGGAAAAAATTTTCACGAAAATTACTTGTCACGCACAACGAGTCTGTGTGCAAAATGTCAGCTCGATTGGATCACGGGAAGTGGGTTAAAAAACGACCGAAAGATTTGCACGGTCGTAAGCGCGCAAGCAAGCAAGCGAGTGTACTTAATATAAAGGATTTAAAAAAAAGAAAACGGGGGAGTTTAGCGAGGCATCGATAATGCGCGATTCTCGCGTGAAGACCCGGCCAGGAAGCTGGCAACGACCAAGCCGGCGAGGTGTGCCCATGAACGAAGGCGTTGCCAGCGTGGAATGCATTAGCGTTGACCGGAGCGCATCCGTTTTGCGGTGGGGAACAGATGGGTTGAACAGCTGGTGGAGAAGTGATACATTTCACTGCAAGATACCTCCCAGTCTGCCACCTCCATTAGCCCCAGTTAGCTTGCGATTAAACAAACCATCTTAAAGAAAAAGCCACCGAGTCTCTCGGCAAATGCATCATCGGCCGGCTCAAGCTGCTGCAGGACAGCAAGATTGTACAACGTGCGGAGCAAAATGAAAAATGGAAGAATAAAAAACCAGGAGGAGTAGAGCAATTATAAAATGTTAGATTTTTTTGTTGTTTTTGTAATTAGTGGTGCCCTTATATTCACGAATAGCTACCACAAAAATGGTCACGACTCTTGATGAGATTGCAAATTGTGTACTCTCCTAAATTTGTGCAGACTGACCCATTTTTAAAAGGAGTGCTTTCCATGCCAGATTTCCGTTGAATCTTTGCCAGATTTCTGGCTTGCGCTTACTGTAGTGGAATTATACGATCTTGCGGGTTCATAAAGAGTCAGTGGTTTATTTTAGAAAAATGGGCATTGCGCATTATATACATACGGTGCATAATTTATGTACACGTCAAATATCGTACTCATCTATACTTAGCAGCACACAGCTTTACTAATATAAGAAATACATCTAAAATCATCATTTTGACAGTTCACACATTTTCAATGGTTAATACACGTGAAGGTGCATGAATTGTATTCAATAGGAAATACTGTCATCATAGCTATAACTGCAATATTGTGTACACCGTGATCGTGGTCATGCACTATACTGCAATCTATATCCCCGTAATTACCGAGGGGAATTCAACCCTCATTGTTACACCAGGGCAGATGTTTTTCCCAGTCAATTTTGATGGGTGTAATCAAATATATGCATTCACACACACACATTAAATAATTATTAATGATAATAATTAATTAAAATCCTCCCCCACCCCCGTGCCATATCGGTCATGTTGTTTGACCATACTTCACCACGCTGGTCAATGTGCCTTTGCTGAAAGAACAACCAATAGAGACGTGTATGAAACATAATGATGCATTATTTACATTTTATTTCTAAAAATATTGAATATGGTTTTGCGAATTTTTTTTTTACTGCCGATAACCAGGTCCGTGTGGAAAATATTTGTCATTCAGTTCCTGAAAAATACATGCAAAAAAACGAGATTACATTTTTTTTGTCAACTGGAAATATTTGAAGCAACACACAATGATTAATTATACATGCAGATAAAAAAATTCAACAGCAATTGCTCACATTACATAGACTGTGTAGATTTGCTTTGTACATCTGAAGTCCAACATTTATTAACGCCATCCACGTCACTGCGCCTCAAAGATCTAGGGGGGGTTGCGATCCCAATGCAAATCAGCGGAGAGAATGCATTGGGCATTTGGCAAGGCTGCATTTTAGCCTAAGCACGTCAGCTCAAGTTAGCCGATGCTCTTGAACCCTGAACGGCTCACGAGTGCCCGACTGGGGAGAATGCACTCACTCCAAATCGCCACTTTAAATACAACACACACGTTCATTTGCCGATGATGTCCAGCGCGGCGAACTTTCCACAGCAGGCACCAAATCCCTCCAACAAAGGCAACAATGCTCCGTGACGATGCCACCATCTCGCCACGGTGGCAAGATGTTAACTACCTCGCCTGGTATACAGGAGGTCGTGGGTTTGATCCCGACCCTGACACTTGTATATTTGGAGTTTGCATGTTCTCCCCGTGGCTGCGTGGATTTTTCTCCGGGTCGTCGGGTTTTTCCCGCCACAATTAATAAAACACGCGTTTCGGAGTATTTGACTGCTATAAATTGCCACGTGATAAGCCACTTCATTGAGCCGTCATTTGTGACCAGGTCGCTTCTGAAAAAGAGATGCATAGCTCAGTGGGCCTCGTCTGGTAAAATAAATTCTGAAAATAAATGTTGTTTATAGTTTAGTTTTAGTTGATTAATTCTGCTACACTTAAAAGCGTGCTGGTAACTATAGCTCCAAAGTGTTTCCTGCGAGGCGGTGGTAAATAGGCTTGTTATGCCAGCAGTCAAGGTCGTGGACAAGTGTAGTCGTTGGGCACTTGAGTCACGTCTGCTGACCGTTTGCGGTAAACCACGGCTGCTTTCGATAGACATCGGTGCACACGACGCCATTTCATATGGAGCTTATGAAACTAAAAATGGAAAAACTTTATATAACACCGTTTTACATAACGACACACCGGACGTGTTGATTTTACGTATATTTACATTTTTACAAGTCCACAATAAAAACACATATTACGATAATAAAAAAAAAGTTATCCCTTATGATGAGAATTATTTTATACGGCTCGCATGCTGGTGCAAGATGGATTCTTACATCAAAAGATCCGGAGCGATGGCGATTAGCAAGGCCTTCATCCAGCAGTGAATAGATCATGGATGATGATACACACCGTTTTACATAACCACATACTGCCACACTTTACATTGGTAAAAAAAAAATGTAGAGCTCCACAGTTATTTTTAAAATAATAACCAGCAAATGTATTAATCTTCTTGGTTCTTTCGGTAAAGGCACGTAGAAGGGAAATAATAAAATAATAAAAATACAACTTATATAATATTATTCTTTTATTATTTCCCTTCTACGTGACTTTACCGAAAGAACCAAGAAGATGAATCCCTGCAGTCACGAAAGATTTAAATCGAAATTTAAAAGCAAATGAATTAGTAAACAAACATGTGTTTTATAACCACAATCCACATTGCTTTATTTATAAATATGCAATTTCATTTACGCAACAAAAAATCTTTGAATACGTGGACAAACCACAAAAAGCCTCAACAAGGCCTTTGAGACATTTCTTAATATTTTCTTGAATTCAACCAATGCCACTTTAATAATCTTCCCATTGAATCTCCACACAGGATATCTTTGCTGTGAAGTAGGACCGTTGCCGAAACGTTACCTATCATGGGGGTGGGGGGGGTGGTTTCCCTTCTCAGAATTATTGACGCACGTGTTGAGTTTTCAACGATGCACCTCCGATTAGCATGATTGGCTTACATTTCAAGTTTCATTTATTGGGTATAGCCCTGTGAGCCATGCGGCTCTTAAGTCAAGCGCAACCGCAACAAACAAAATATGAACACAGAACATCTTAAAGCGACGACGCGTAACAGAAACATCCTGGAATAAACCAGCAAATATTTTAAAAAAACGTATTCAAACGCTGTGTGCAAAAATCCCAATGTGGTGCAAGTCAACAATAACAACCATAAGACAATTTAGATGAACCATGTGTTTTCGAATCACCAAAATAAAGCTGCAAAAACAATGTAACAACAGTAATCACAGGAACTGTGATTCAAAATTTAACAATAAACGATATACATAACACGTACGACCAAACTTGCAGCCATAGCTGGAGCATGACACTCCCAGTGTATGAGGTGTGAGTGAGTCAGCGTATGATGTGTGAGTCAGCGTACGATGTGCGAGTGAGGGGGGGGTGCGAAAGAAATTCCACATGCATACACATATATGCAACATACGCACCACTCAACAAAAGAGTTACATTCAGGAACTATTTTATATTGCTTTTAACCCGACTTTTAACTTCCATAATGACAATATGGCGAGGAATTCTGGGAAGCAGTACAATGTCCGTTCTTGCTGCTACAGGTTGTGAAGCCGATTCCACCTCCGCCGCCACCACCTCCGCCAGTGAATAAGGTAAAGATCCTAAAATTGACATTCAACACACGACTTCACACACGCGGGTCAGTATTCTTATATTAGTTTCAATTGATCGACAGCACCCACTTCTATGCGCGCATCGCACTTGGCGGACAACGCAGCTTTTTGTAATTGGGGTGGGTTGCGCGGTTTAGAAAAGGAGCGCGTACACACTCGCAATTAAACTGATCCAATTCAGGGTGACGATGAGATTCAATCATCGGTTTACATTTGTTTTGTTTGACATATCAGTGGACGGTTGCACCTGTGGTGGGTGGGCTTCAAGTGGTCACGTCAACCTGTCGCCTGTCACACACAACACGCGTGGTTTGAACAATATTGATTCTTTCACGGGTGATTAGATGCGCGTGCCGTGAGCGCAAAAAAATATACATTTTTTTTTCATCGCGACATCCCACTCCCAATTTTCCGCGTTTACCAATTTACTGCCCATTCCAATTAAGACGTTTCGCGCGCGCTGCCCGTGCCCGATGATTGTTAAACCTGACCCGCGTGACGCAGCTAAGCAATCAAAGCTGCACGCGTGAAGAGAGAGAGAGAGCGCCGATTCAAATCGTGATTGAGATCTCGGTGTGCGTGCGTGCGTTTAGACGTGTCACGTGTTCCACACAGCTGCACTCAATCATCGGACACGTGCAGCGTGGAGCGATGTCATTTGTATTTGAATGCGGAAAGAGTAAATTGGTAAACGGTCGTGATGACTTGAGTTTGGGAAAGCCCCCCGCGATAATTGATGCGTAAATTAGCCGGGGAAACTGGCTAAACGGGTTAACCCGTGTAACAAATCAAATACACTCGAAATCAATCAATCAAACTCAATCGTTGTGAAGCAAAATTATATTTTGAGTTGTGTTTGATTTGCTGTCGAGATAATTGGCACGCACCAACTCGCTTCTCTTTACATCTTAATTTGCCCAGAACAAAGGAAAATGTGTTATAGAGTGTCACACGCATTGTTAACGTCAGCTCTTGAGAAAGACCGGTGTTTGATTATAATTATCGGTTTGGCAAACACACTAGCAACTTGTTTTTAACAGATTATTATCTCCCAACACCTGTAAATTCCTCTTTAAGTGCTGTGCTAGGAATTATTGGCTCAACCTGTGAAATCTGCTGGCACAGTACATATCACGTGTTGTTTTCATTTCACTGCTGGCTTCCAAGGTTGTCTGAGTAACATATGGGGTCTCAGGAACGCGCCACATCTCACATGAACTAACAAGGGAAGACGGTCACCTAACGAGATGGTCATTTGGACCTAAATCCCACGGGGGAAACAAATAACTTCAGAGTGTTTCCCAAATTTCGATTCAAAGCTTTCGTGACTGCAGGGATTCATCTTCTTGGTTCTTTCGGTAAAGTCACGTAGAAGGGAAATAATAAAATAAAAAAATTAAACATAATAAAATAATAATTATTAATTATTAATAATAATTTTATTATTTTTATTCTATTCTGTTTTATTTTTATTATTTTATTATTTCCCTTCTACGTGACTTTACCGAAATAACCAAGAAAATGTTTCCCAAATTTGTAGTTTGTGCAACGTTAAAATAAGCTTTGATTTCCCAACAAGAACGTGTGTTTAGAGTACAAACATCTAAAATGTGTGTATATATGTGGATAAAATGTAATATATTACAATCGCTCATTCTGCTCTTGCTGCCTCCTTAGTCTTGAACTTCGATTCCCCCACCCCCTGGTCCCTTCTTCCACGAACGCGCTCATCTCTCCGTGTCGCTCGCTCGCCCCTTTCCCCTCCCCACCCCGCGTGCGACACCCGACAGGAGGAGCCGGAGGAGATCGCACCGAAAAAGAAGTGGCCAACGGTGGACGCGTCCTACTATGGTGCCGGCGGGATCGGTGGCATCAAGCCAATGGAGGTAGGGGCAGTCCTCGACTTACAAACAGCCGCACTTACGAATCAGATTCGATGAAATATCTGGGTTTTTTCATATTGGCTTAAAACGCGAACTCTCGCTTGCAATTCTAGATTTGAAGCTTTCGTAACTGCAAGGATTCATATTCTTAGGTTTTTCCGGTAAAGTCACGTAGGTAAAAAATTTAAATTAATAAAAGTAAAATAAAAATAAAAGAAAAATAAAAAATCACGACGTTTCGGAGGCAACACAAGCTTCCGTCTTCAGTGGAACCGTCACAGCCCGACAGCTGTATCAAGTAAATGAGAGATTACAAGAGATACCACTCCGTATATATAATGGTTGAGGGGGGGTGGGGGAAGGGCCAGGAACGGCCCACTTTTTACTATTATGGTAATCTCGCTTGCAAATTGAACCGCGGCACTATTTTTGTTCGGCAGAGCGATCCCCCCTCCACGAGATGTGAATGAGTCAGCCTCGTGCTGGGCCTGAGTGTTTGTGTGTGTGTGTGGGCATTTAAATATACAGCAGATTACTGTGTTCCGACTTACGAACGGGACACAGGAACAAATTGTATTCGTAAGTCAAAGCCTGTCCCATTGTAATGATTGGGTGTTGGATGTTGAACTTATTTCGCACCGCACGTAGCCGACTGCGCTAAACGGTGGTGCGGGGGAAGGACAACAAACTAAACACAAACAAGCAGTTCTTAGGAAATGTGTTTTTAATTTAGTATAGTGCAGTGTATTGTATGGTTGTGTAGTGTATAATGTAGTGTACAGTAGTGTAGTGTATTGGAGTGTATAGTGTCATGTATTGGAGTGTGCAGTGTAGTAGTGTTTGTAGTGTAGTGTATAATGTAGTGTGCAGTAGTGTAGTGTATTGGAGTGTATAGTGTCATGTATTGGAGTGTGCAGTGTAGTAGTGTTTGTTGCGTAGTGTTTTGTAGTGTAGTGTATAGTGTAGTGTATAGTGTAGTGTATGGTGGAGCTGCCTCTCTCACGCGAAGTTCTCATCACAGCTCCACGCGGCACCGCGCTCAACTCGGGTTTCCAAAATGAATGAATAACTGTTACACGCTTCTCGCACTCGGCTTGTTTTTATTCCAGGCTCGTGTGGTCTGTGTTTGCACTGCTAAGTAGTTCAGCTTCTTGCCCACCCGCCTGTCCAAGTGTGCATTAAAATGCGCTCCGTTTACCCATCAATTATTCATGTGCGTGTGAGCACGCGATGTGCTTGAATTAGACTGCTGAGGAATTGTGCAGTAATTGAGGCGTACTTTGCGGGGGGGGCTGCATATGCAACGCAGACACATCGCTGCAATTTTTGTTTACAATTCCAAAATGTCTTCTGGAAAAAATCGGACCAATTGCAAGCTTTGTTTTACCAACTCTGGTGGCTTCTTTTGAACACTGCGGTCAGCCATGTGTGTTTACATTAACATAAGGCACGAAGATGTAAACGTGTGGTACATAAGCCCGATTATGTTCATTTTTCCATTTTACACAGGGATTATATTGTTGCCGTGGGGGTTTTCTTTTTAAAATGATGACAAGTTTTTCGGTGCTACTTCGTCTTACAAAGGAATGGTCTAAGAAGATGTTTGATCGCTCGATAAGAAGAAAATTCCAGGTGATACCCCCAAGTATATTTTTCAAGGTCGATTTGGGTCAATGAGGCTTAATCTAATCATACTACATGAGAAAAAAGTTTTGCTGGCTGCCTGACTGCCTGGCTGGTTGGTCATGCACTGCCCAGCACGCAGAGGGGAGGGGGCATTGGGGGGGGGGGGGGTAGAAGTACAGTACAACAATATACTTTGCTGCACAACTATCTGCTGCCTCATCCACGGTGTAACCCCACAGCAGCTGCTGACACCCGCCTTCATGCGTGTGGTGAGTAGCAACGCAGGCTCAAACCCGCTTAGCTTCCGTGTAATGTAGATTATCATCTTGGATGCCATGCACATCAAAATTGTATTTAGTTTGTTGAACACGTAGGCTTTCGCGACCAATATCCATAATGCAGTTTTTTTGGGGTTAGATCGCGTAAATATATGAAAGCGTTGTTAAACCCGCCACCACCCGACACAGCCAATTAGTAAGATTTGTAACGCAAACAGAACGTGCCAATTCGTTACTAGTACAGCACACCGGTGTGGCTTGGCGTATTTTGTATTGTAAGGGTCGACCGTGTTGTCGTGCCTTGTCACGAGCGTTCCGAGCCTTCCCCCGCGTACCGCGGCTTCGGGATCCTCGCTGACAGATGGCTTCGCTCTGCCCCACTGGAGTGTGTTTGTGGCTTCATGACAGAGGTGTTTTCTGAAGCCGAGCCTGTGGAATGACGCAAAAAAACACACACGTCACCGTTTGTCGCGAAAGAAAAAACACCACGTCTGCTGCAGACGGACACTCGGATTGAACAAGCAGTAGTAGCGTGAAGAAGAAGATTACGTCCTGATTATTGAGAAAAGTATCCAAATTAGCCAGTTGTAATTTTTTTGAGAAATCGCAAAAAAAGACCTCGGTTTGCACGGAAAGGAAACAGATTGTGTTGGCGCTCAGGAACCCCATGCAATATGCTAAAATGATTTTCAAACTTTGGCAAATATGGCAGAGCCGGAAAAATGAATCATTATCTCAGCACGACAAAGAGCATGTCTCCAAAGCTTGCTGCAAATATCTCTTCGCAGCTCCACACACACATACCAACGAATGCAAATGCAGCTGCGTGGACAGCTATTCCTAATGCAGTCTTCTCGTCCACCCGGACACCACACATACCCCAATACTGATCCACCTTTTCACATTCATCAATAAACAAACGTACGTAATGTAATTGACCAAAACTGACGCGTGAATTGAGACGTGTGGTATATGAGCAGAGCTGGACTATAGCAACAGATTTTAAGAACGAATAATAATCATTCCAAGCCTGGTGGTGTTCATTCAGACGCTGTCCTTTCGACAGACCTGTTCTTCACCTGAGGACGGCTGCTTGCGTTGTGGCCGAAACGTCATGAGAATTATTTTATTACGTTTTATTTTTATTATTTTATTATTTCCCTTTTACGTGACTTTACCGAAAAAACCAAGAAGAGGAATCCCTGCAGTCACGAAAGCTTTAAATCGAAAAATAATAATGCCCTTTAGGCAAGAACGCCTTACCGAGTCTTAAGACTCTTTCTCAGGAACGTCCTGCAATTCCTTCAATGAGTACTTGCCATTTGGTAGGAAACAAAAGCAACTTTGTGAAAGCCAGCTGGTATATCAAGGCAGTCTCCCATCCAAATACGAACTGGAATTCAACCCTCCTTGGCTTCTGAGATGTGGAGCGACCGGGTCCAATCGAAGGCGGTTTTGGCCGAGGCTCAAGGAACCGTTGCGTTGTCGTTTGTTGTTGTTATCAGGCTGTAACTTGTCGCTGCACCTCCGATTCCTTCACCCGCAACTCCGATTAGCACGGTTGGCTACGTTCGATGTGAAAAAAGTTTTAAATACATACAAAGGCCAACCCCATTTCCTTCCATGTTTTGCTTAGTTTGTGTTATTCATCAGTGGCCTCCGAAGTTACATGAGTCCATCCCGCCATCTCTTCCGCTCTGTCTTCCTCAAGCCTCTTTTTCCCTTCCCCGGGTATCTTCTCCCGAGTGAATGTTGTCAATCTCTCGTCACGTTCGTTAGAGCGTGGAGGTCTCGTCCTCTACGTCCTGCCAGTTGCCCCCGATGTATCTACAGACGTGTGGGGGCCCGGTGGTGGCTGTGTGTGCGCGCGCGCGTGAATAGGTACGCTGGGGTGGCAAAGGCTGCACAGAGGAGGGGGCCAGGCTCAAGGCCACCCCCAACGCGGTCGTCACCATGCCAACGGAGGAGGAGGTCCAATTCCAACAAACCCCCCGGCCCCAGAGGAATGGCACGGCCGAAACCCCCCGCTCGCCTGCGCCACAGTGGTTCGCTCCGATCAAGGTGAGCTGCTCCTGTCTGATATGAAGAAGGGCCGATAATGCGGCAACTTAGGGCAGCGTTATTGAAGAATGCGTAAAATTTTGACATACGTGCTCGCGCGCTACTGGCAACGCAAGCATGGTGGGGTCTTTTTTTTTTGCTGTTCGTGAATCGGACCAGTGTTAGTTAGTTTCGTTCAAGAAATTGGCGACGCAAATATTTGTCGACAAAGTTTTCATATTGTTTTAGTCGACGATGGATATGGATGGATGATAGTAATGGGGCATTACGATCACGACAATGACTGCCCACCAGATATGAAAGTGCGACCATAACAACACTTCAGGAGTAATTAGCAACATATCAGAGACAGCAATGCAATGGGGGGGGGGGGGGGGGGGGGGGAGACCAAAACATGCCATTTGGCTATATATTTTCTAATAAAAAAATAAATGTTCTGAGTTCACCGATTGGCTGACCTAATACTACGTGGTGGACGATCTGTTAAAACGGGAGACCTGTAGCACGGTTGGGGCAAAAGGAACGACGCCGCAAATCTTGCCCCGTACGACATCTGTTTTGCACACAGCCTTTCATGCGCACACTGCAACAATAATGTTCATACCTAAAGCCCCCAGGACAAAGCTGCAAAGAAGAATCCGTCATACCATCTTCAAAGTTTGCTCGCGGGTGTGAGCGGCTGAACTGTTACTGTGGAGCGTCGCGGCAAGCGCGCTTGCTGTCACGGAGCGCGCTTCACACGTGGCCGCTTTGACTCCCGTCCCAAACAGGGAATGCTGGACGCTCTCTGGGCCCTCATGCGAAGTGGCTACGACCGCGTGTCAGTGATGAGGCCGCAGCCCGGCGATAAGGTACGTAGTCAATGCAGCGGTGACGGCAGTGAGCATTGGTGGCCCGTACCGTGCTGAGAAGTCCTAACGAGGATGACGCTGGGCTACAGTTATCCATCGCCGAGTCACAGCCGCCTGTCGGTCGGTCATACTTTGCTCAAATGTATTTTGATGGTGACCTAAGCCGAGAGGATCACAGTGCACTTCTTGAGGACTTCATGACGGTTTTTGCTTAACGCACAAAGGCTTAAGTGATCTTTGCCACGAGTGTGCGTGTTGTTTGAAACTCGTAGCAGTGGCTACTTGCCGGCGCACGCAACCAGTGACAGCTACGGCCTCAGAAAGTTTTTCTGATTCGCCGCGCTCGTCTTTAGCGAACGGTGCTTTTACCATGCGTAGAGCGCTACGCCACAGTGGCTTTTTCTCTATCAAGGTCTCTATTAGGATAACACCTGCATGAGCAGTTTGGTGTCTCTCTAAGAGTAAGTGGGCTGTGGGTCACATGATCTGGGCGGGATTACCCACATCAGGCACAGAGTGGTGTTGCGTTGTTGGCTTGGGGCCTGGTGCAAGGAAAGAAATGGGCCCCCCCCTGTTCAATGCCCCCCCCCCCCCTCCTCTTCCTAGCCCGGGGTCTGGGCCCCTCCAGTCTGTGGGACGCGGTGCAGTTGCACCGCCTGCACACACTCGATAGCCGCGCCACTGATCAGGCACCAAACGCAAAGGGCAGAGATTGTTGCACGTTCACATCGAGCCGCTTGCATGTTCTAACCCGAAAGGGTCGGATTACGTGCACATTCAAAAGAGCACAAGGGTAAAACAACTCTTGTCTCCAGAAAAGCAGCTTTTGGGCATAGACCGCCACAAAGTAGAACAAGGCTGTGTGGTCTGGTGAAGAGAGAAGAGGAATGCGAGCTGTGATATTGTATTGCAAGCACGGTCATTATCAGATGTTTAAAAATTAGATGTTTAAAACATTTTAAGGCGAGATGCTTGGCCCTGCCTCGACGCTCGGTGAACTGCAGCCAGGGTCGCAGCAAGTGGCCTCAATCTGGACGGCGTCACAGATACTGTCAGCGTTGGCCTGGCCGAGCTTTATGCCTCATTATTATATTCTTAGGTTTTTTCGGTAAAGTCACGTAGGTAAAACATTAAAAAAGTAAAATAAAATAAAAATCACGACGTTTCGGAGGCAACACAAGCTTCCGTCCTCAGGTGGGACCGTCACAGCCACGACAGCTGTATCAAGTAAATGAGAGATTGCAGGAGCTACCACTCCGTATATAATGGTTGGAGAAGGTGGTGGGGCAAGTACCGCATACTTTTTATTAATATGGTAAGGTGAGGCTTAAGAGGGTGAGCCTTTGTTATGGAGAGGTACGGTTTGTGACTCAACCTGTGACGGGGAGACAACCAATAAACATGGTAAAACTGTAATAGTTGTCTGTCAAATAAGATTGGCAAATAATTGTAGTTAAATCTTTTTTGCCTCATTATTAGATATTTAATTTATCTAAATGGTTATTTATTAACGCGTGTGAGCATTTATACTCTGACCAAGTCGTGGTGGCCCTCCGCAGCTGTTACCGTTTTCTTTTACTCAGATTTTTTTTTCAAGCTTTCACTTGAATATTTTTCGCACAAATGGAGATGGAAAACTAGCGCATACAAGCCAAGAGGTGTTAACACTGGAGCCAAGTGGACGTGCCTAGTTTATGTAACCATGTCAAGTAACCACAGCAGAATGTTCACCGCAAGAACAGCACTTAATGGGAACAATATTATTTCCAGTAAAGGGACACTGCCGTGGTACAACGGTTAGCACACTGGACTTGCAACACAATGGTCACTAGTTAGTTCTCCCCGTGCAGAGGTTGAAACAATGGGGCAGGTTTCTTAAATCCCCCAGCCTCTGGTTCACCCAGCAGTATAAATGAGTTCATCACAGTTAGTCGATCGGCAGGTTGCGTGTGGTGGGATAAAGCGTAAGTATTCCCACCACTTCCGAGACGAAAACTAAACTGTGAACATTTTTTTTTATTTTATCAGGGTGAGGCCCACTAAGCTATATGGCTCTTTTTTCAGAAGCGACCTGGCCACAACGAAGTGGCTCGTCAAATACACATTTGTAGCAACCAAATACTCTGAGATGCGTGATGTTGATGCTAAATGTGGGGGGGGAACCGGAGGACCCGGAGAAAAATCCACGCGAACACGGGAGAGAGAGAAACACAAGCAAACTCCAAATATACAGCAGCAGGCGTCTGGCCACCGTGGACACACTCGCTTGAGCTCTCTGTTGTCGAGGTGTTTCCGCCGGCAGCGGCATGAACGCGGAATTGCAGGACTGCACCTTTACCTTTAGACCTGTAAGACAGCTGTTCCCAAGCTTATGGCATGGATGAATCTATATTGCTGTATCTTCCATATATAAATCAATCTACCTAATCTTCCCGAAGTCGTATCTATAACCAATAAATACGTTTTTAAACATTACTTTCGCTAGGGGATCGTCTAAACTACGACATTATTTTAAAAGCTATCCATGCAGAGCAAAATAGAAATATGGATGCATACGAAAGATATATAAATGTCATCTTGTGTACAGTATTAAGTGAGTGCCAAACAATAGAACAATTCGGGCTAAGACCATGCTGATGTGAAAGCTGAAAATAACTTATCTCTATAATCATAACAAACACTTCTTCGAAGTGAATGTTGTGTAATTATAAAAGTGTTAGAGTTGTCTGGCGAACACGTTAGACAGATGTTAACGGTTAATGAAACTTTTTGTTTAAGTTAACATCCACGTATCGTTTTTTTTCCTTGCCCAAACAATAAACAGAGGACAATTAATCATAAATTCTGGTACGGACAAGACATATATTTGTCATCAACTCTCCGTCTCTATAATTAAAGCCAACACATCTGTGTATTCAGAATAATCTACACCATGTGAACCCGCCAGCTGGCTGAGCGGCAGAGCTAGCAGACCCACAATCGGAATGTTATGGGTTCATATCCTGGTCAGGGGTTGACTCGACACCAGTGCCAGATGATCCTAGTAGCAAAAGTAGCTACAAATGCTCCGGGCCCAACACTTTCAAGGGGGGCCCCGCGCTAAATGCTTTCAAGCTATCAATTCCGGTTCAGTGATTCTGCACTTGCTCTATCACTATAGTACTATACCGCCTTTTATAAACGACTGGGTGTTTAAGGTTAGCGATTTGTCATTATCTGGCTGTATAGCAAATGAAAAAATACAATTATTTTGCTGTGCAAGTTAAAAATGTGTTTTTTTTAATATTTAGGGCCCCTTTATAACAACATATGCTACAGGCCCCGCACTAGCTTAGTCCGGCACTGCTCGACACGTCACCCCTCCGAGGTCGATTAAGTGAATTCTGTTGTGTGTGTGTGTGTGCGCGTGTGGGGAAGTCAACAACGGTGGTTGTCCTATGGATAGACTCACCCCCGCCATGTGAATGTGGATTTCCCACCATTGGCTCAAGGCTTTAAGTGGGAGCTGAGCGTCGCGTCAATGCGTATTTGAGCGGGAAATCAGTTGGACTCTTTTGACGCCATCTGGCCCTCCTGGGGGACGAGGTTTATAAAACACTGCGGCCACCCTCCCTGCGGAGCCTGCATTCGTGCTTGCGAAGCGTGGAGACTTTGCATCCGTTTGCCATGACTTTGCTGCCCCGCAGTTTGTGGTGCTGGCCCATTTGTGGCTGGGGCGGGAGGGGGGGTCCTAAGTAAACAAAAATTTTTTGACTTGCCTACCATTTTCTCAAGTTTGTACCACTACGATTTTTTTTATTTTTTTGCTGTTGTAACTTGCGGACCCACCCGTATTGGATTTCTGTGAAAAAAAGAGCTTAGTAGCTCTTCGGATTCCTCCTGCAAGCTAAATACAGATTTTGATATTTTTGGGTCCCCCCCACCCCCCTCCCCACCCCTCTCCCCACCCCTCACCCCACCTCTCCCTTACAATTCAGAAAACCGTTGCGATGTCGAAGTAATGTAAATGTCGATAGAAAAGTTGAGATGCAGCGAAATTAAATAACACTGATGCAGACAAGATAGCGATGAGAGACATTAATTTGGCGTGTTATGTGCATTTTCTTGTTTTGCTTGTTTGGCTTTGAATTTTAGCTCGTATCGGTTAAGCCGATATTTCAATTGGTCCCCTTGATTTGCGGCAGGCCAAAGCCTCTTCTTGGGTTGCTTTTGCCCAGTGCCGTCACTGCTTGTGTTTCGTTTCGTTCTCCCTCCCGCGCACCTCCGATTTAGTACGGTTGCCTACGTATGGTGCCAGAGAAGCTTAACATACACATACATTCTAGATTTGAAGCTTTCGTGACTGCAAGGATTCATATTCTTAGGTTTTTTTCGGTAAAGTCACGTAGGTAAAAAATTAAAATTAATAAAAGTAAAATAAAAATAAAATAAAAATCACGACGTTTCGGAGGCAACACAAGCGTCCGTCTTCAGGTGGAACCGTCACAGCACGATAGCTGTATCAAGTGAGAGAAATTCCAAGAAAACAGTCGTTGTATATATACTGGTTGAGGGTGGGAGGAGCCAAGGTAGGCCCTAAATATTATTTTTGTGAGGTTCGGTGCGGCTGAAGTACGCTCTACATAATAATAGGCTCAGTCAACCATTCTACACAACAAAGACTAACTTCCTGACAGCGAGTTAAGCCGCACCACCTCTACATAATAATAGGCTCAGTCAACCATTCTACACAACAAAGGCCCATTCCTAACAGCGTACTTCATCCGCACCGAACCTCACAAAAATAATATTCAGGGCCTACCTTGGCTCCTCCCACCCTCAACCAGTATATATACAAGGACTGTTTTCTTGGAATCTCTCTCACTTGATACAGCTATCGTGCTGTGACGGTTCCACCTGAAGACAGAAGCTTGTGTTGCCTCTGAAACGTCGTGATTTTTAAAATAATTTTTTTACTTTTATTAATTTTAATTTTTTACCTATGTGACTTTACCGAAAAAACCTAAGAATATACACATACATACATTCATAGTGGCACCGATTACATTCTGATTATTTTTGGTTATAAAAGCGAAACTTATCATTAAAACATTTACACCTCGCGCAACAAATTACGTACAATACATATTATATATAATAATACACATTTCACAAACAATTTCTATCGCTCGTAAAAGCATACACACACACAAAGAAACACTGTAATTATAGTAACATAGAAATAGAAACGTCGTTAAGTATGCATTACGACCACATAAGTACCGTTTAACACGTAAGCTTTCGCGACCAATATCATCTATAATCCAGGTTTTTTTTGGGGTTAGAGCGCGTAAATATGAATGTCGTTAAACCTTCCAGTACAAAAATCTAGCTGCCGCCTGATGAAGCTAGTTGTAATTACTGACGAAACGTCGTACTCAGATTGTAAATGTTGTGGATTTGATCTCCAACACACCGGTGTGCTGTACTAGTGACAAATTGGCATCTTCTGTTTACGTGACAAACCTAACTAATTGGCTGTGTAGGGTGGTGGCGGGTTTAACGACACATTTGTATTTACGCGATCTAACCCAAAAAAACCTGTATTATGGGCAAATAAGTACCGTGTGATAACCAATCATGCCACTCGGATGCTGTCCTGTAAGGGTCAGCACACTGGACTTGCAATCCAGAGGTCAGTGGATCATTTAACCTGAGCGGCAGTGGAAACAAACGGGCAAGTTTCTGTAATGCCCACCAACCTCTCTCCACCAAGGAGCGTAAATGAGAAATGCTGCAGTCAGTCGATCGGAAGGTCACGTGTGGTGGGGCAGAGTGTAGGTAACTCTTACCTCTTCCAAAATACGTCTAGCCAGCGTGGAAGACGAGGCCAAATACCCTCTAGAGGGGGTAATCAGGAGCTCTGAGTGGAGGCCCTTTTGTCAGCAGTGGCGTGAGCAAGACATTTCAGGGCTGCAGCTTTACCCTTTAAAAAATATATATATCTTTAAAGTGTTATTTCACACACATACACGATACACATTTGTAATCCTTCTAACACACACAGACACAAACATCACGAAGTTATTATTACATTGCGAACTTCAGAAATGTGATGACTTGAAAAAAAAAACGATGACTGTACGTTGTTTCCTATGCACAGGGTCGCTGCATGACCATGAGGCGCACTTGACGGAGGGCGGCTGGACCGCGAGCAGAACCAAAGTCGAAGATTATCTTCCCACGTGACATTGCACCCACGTCGGCCATTTTCTTTTTTTAAGCAGGCGGCCATCTTGTTGGGAGGCAGTGGTCGCTCCAAACCAAGGGGGTCAGCAACCAAAATGAACAAGAGCCGTTTTTGTTCGAATTCGGTGCAAAACTCAACATTTCAAGGGCCACGATGCAAGCGAATGCATACACATTACGTTGCGAAATGGTCCGCAAAGAGCCGCGCATGCCTCCGTAGCGGCAGGTTTGCCGACCCCTGCGCGAAACGTAGTGCCCCACGCCAACGAATGTGAACGCCACTGCTGCCACCGGGTCCCGGTCTTCCCAGGATCAGCCTCAGTTTGAGATTGTTTTCCGGAATTTGTACGTCTCCCCAGGAAATTAAAAGTTCCTGATGGTTTTCTTTGGGTGGTCAGATGCTTAATAATACACCATTCGTGACAATGCGCGTATGGATGTAGTTCTCTCTTCTGCCAGTATTATGAGCTATTCCTCTTGCCATATGCGCCATGGTTTTTTTTTGTATCTCAAGAGGTGGGAAACCTAACGGATTGCATTCAAGAGCAAGCGATCTAGAACTTCTCATAAAGCCACGACAAGATCCACGGCGATAGACTGCAGAGCAGACTACACTCTACTTTTGGCAGGGTTCAATCCCGTCTCCTTATGTACCGTATGTTTAACTTTTTTCAAACCGTACCTAGCAAGCCAACCGTGATAATTGGAGGTGCGGGGAGAAGTACAAAAATCTAAACACAAAAATAAGTTCTAGCTTGTTGAAGTGAATTCCCACCCCTACCTTGTTCTCTGGATTATACAACGCATCCCGACCCCCCTGTAGTTTGTAGCAGAACTTGGAGGTGTGTGTCTTTATAATCTGGTAGGTGTTTGTGTGATCATATTAGCTTAACTTGATCGACTCCCGGGCACTAATTTGAGGGATATCTTCATTTCGGGGGCGTCTTATGATCTAGAGAATGAGGAAGATGTTGGGCCCAGCTATTTGTTAACTTCCCCCTTTCATGTGTGTCTTGTCCGTTTATCTGTATAAATCAACGGACTTCTCATGAACACGAGAAGATCTATTTTCCTGCTGTCAATCGTTCAAATAAATACTGCCTGTGATAAAGAAATCAGCCAATTATATAGACCGTGCAGAACAGTCATTTGTGTTTCGGCTGTATTTATCAGCATTTTTTAAAAATAAGTATTGGTGTCATTATGATGTATGCTTTACAGCTTCTGAATCCAAATATAAATCATTAAACATTACATCTACTTGACTTTACAGCTCAGCCAACGATATCTTTCAGCCTAGGCTCTAGGGATATTGCCTTTTCAAACGTTTAGGCTCGGTTTCAGACCTGATTTGGTATTTTAAGATTATAATTTAAATGTATTGCATTTTTATAAATTTAAGGATTTTAAATATTAATAATTTATTTAATGACTTTTATATCAAGCATCATCGGGAGAACATGTCATACATCACTTTCTGTGATGTTACATTTTTGCATGAATCCAAAAGTATTTTTTTTACATCATCCGAAATTTCTATATAGGCCTGATTTTCAGATTTTTTGGATGCATTCCAAAAAACATTGGGAACACATCCCAAGTTGAATCACAAACGCCTAAACTCTTTCCATTGCACCGGTTTGCTGCCTACACATGGAGAACAGTGGCCCTTGTCGAAGCCAAGCCGGAAAGTACGCCGACATATCTCATGTTGAGTACGTTCTACCCTCGCCGCTAATGCCTGGTGACATTGAGCCGGCTAAATTAAACACAAGATTGGCTCGCGTTGGCCATGATTGTACTCGCTGAGATGTTTAATAATTCCTGCCTCGTGTCGAAGTCCGGTCGGCTCTTCGTTGCTGCGGGCAGCATTATCCACAGTCCACGTATTCATGAATTTGCAACTGCTTTTCCCAAAAATGTTACGACACTTATGTAATAATTTTTCAGTTCAGTGCTGTTTGAAGGCCTCTTCACATCGTATCAGCTGCACCAGTTGTTTGGCCATACTTTACCATTCTGAAGCACGCGGGGGACCACGTACCGGTTCAGATATCGATCGCCGCTGATGTCAAACGTTGCCGAGAATGGAACTCAGGTCATCGGTAATTGTTTTTTTCACCCTTTTTTCTGGCAACAAATCTCACACGCCATGTTTGTATTGACCACAATACCTGCGGTCGGAATGCAAACAAAAAACACAACTCTGATAATGTATGCACTGTCCTTGAAATTGATTGGTCCACACCCGAGACAGCTTTTCTTAGAGCCTAGTCTCACATGGTGTTGGACCAGATGACGCGGTGCGCTAACTAGCCACGGGGCCACCACTTTGCCTCGTCACGCGATGTGTTACGTGAAAAGCTTTCGGGTTACAAAGGGACGTGCAAGACAATAAATTATCAAAATGGTTTGGAAACAAATTCCAAGGTATGCGTAGGCTCAGACGTTGTGTTGTATTTTTTGTTACGTCTGCACCTGTGTTATAGCATCCGTATGCAATTGTGAGCATTAAGAGGCAAACATACACGAGTAGGTGTGACTCTGTGCTATATTGCCAACAGTTTTTTTTTTTACACTGCCTATTTGCCTTCACGCCTACCTCCAAGAAATATGAAATGATGGGTAAACATTGCCAGGGAATTTCTGTCTCCGCATGAGTTTAGTGTTGCACCTCCCTTGACTGCAACGTGCCCCCGAGCAAGACTGTTCATCTGTACATAAATTGCGCGGAAGAAATTCACACATTTCAATCGACTGTGTGCCTATATGGGTTCGCTAATCATGAAAAGCTTGTAGATGTATAATTTTTTCAAGGTCGGGACAACAACAGCAGCAACAACAACCGTTGCAGATGTGGAAATCGAACAGTGTTGCAAAGCTGCGTCTCTTCGTGGTTATTAACATGCGCACTCGCCGACCTCAAGCTAAACGCGCAACAGGACCCGGCCCTCCCCTTGACCGCAGGACACGCGTACAGTGCGGCCGGAGAGCACCATTTATTTAACGGAGGCCGCACCACTTTAATAACGAGCATCTGCACCGACCGTTCCCAAGCTGTGATCCGCCCGGCTGCCAAGTTTCTGTCGCGTCCCCAATGCCCCCGAGAGGCATCACGCGTCTTTGGGAGGCATCCGTCGTAGCCTCGTGAGCACACGCGCTCGCCACTCCGTGCGGTTCTTTTGCCGATTTTTTTTCACGTTTCGCCTTTTTAGCCGGGATTTAGTTTGGCAGCAGCACCGAGCCGCAGAAGAAGGGCAAGTTGTCGTTGTTGTTGTTGCTGCTGTTGTAACGGCGCATTGCGCGGACGTTTGACGCCGCGTAAAATCTTGCGTTGGAACGAACCGCTGCCGGCCTTCACAGTATTTATGGATGCCCCAAAAAAGAGAAAAATTCCAAAAAATATATTTACTTGAATTCAGTGTACGTAACTAATCTAGCGAGTAATTTCAACGTCATGTAGACCACTAATACCACAGTAGAACCTTAAACGTTGCTTGTGAAACCGTTGTATCTGGATATCATGCTTGCTTTTTTTATAATAAAACATTCGTTTCTTTCACAACTTTAAATGATTCACGAATCCTGTTTTCAGAACATTCTCGTCTTTGCATATAAAAAAAAAATCCGCACGGTTTATGATGTTTTTTTTTACGCAAGCGTTCACTCGAACATCTCAGTTTAAGCAATTAAAAGGACGGGTACCTCAACGTCAAATATGCGCACACACAATTATATACCGAGTACATTCACAGAAGGGGAGCCCCAGCGAGGGGGTGGGGGGGATAGTTTGTAACACACGGCATACTGCATCTAATTTCACAACGTGCTTGCGTTCAAACCACAAGAACGAGACGAACCACAGCCACTTGGCGGTCCAAAAGCAACGTCCATTGCAGGAGTTATTCTTGTTTTGTTTCACCCTCGAGCCATTAGTGACTGACATTCATGAATCCAGTGGTACTATATTTTTGAAGCCACCACATCCTACAAGGAACGTTTGAAATGGGCACACCAGTGAATGGAAATCCCTTCTTGAAACAACGCCGTGCGAAGAATGCCCTCTTCACAGATGTGCCACACAGCCTGGCGCCACGTGACCTTCCAGTGCCAGGGACCAGAGCTGCGGCTGCGAGGACGACAAATCGCATCTCCATCCGTCCAAGTCGTGCACGCGTGGCAAAGTGATTGAATCGGAAATGCAAAAGTGGCGGCGTCAACCCTTTCCGCGCGGCGTCGACCTCACGATCGCATACATACGTACTTACATTCCACTATAGGCATAAAGCTGCAGTGATAGAGAACGTGCGATGCATTCATAGCATCGCAGCAGAAGAAGAAGAAGAAACGTGGGGAGCCCTCTTTATTGTGCCCAGACAGCCTGTATTCTCAGCGTGGGAGCAGAACGACTGGTGAGCTATGGAAAGGCAGTGCTGCTGAAAGTGTTCGCAGTGCCAAGCGGAGAGCCAAGGTGCACGTGCTCTGGACTCTGCACGAGACCGGCATTTGCTTCACCTGCTTTTTTTTGTCGTCCATAATAGAGTTTTTTTGGGGGGTTAGATCGAGTATAATTAGATAAATGTGTCGTTAAACCCACCGCCACCTGACACAGACGATTAGTAAGGGCTGCCACGTAAACAGAACACGCCAATTTGTTACGAGTACTGCACACAGTGTGTTGGAGAGCCATGCCACAACATTTACAATCTGAGTGCTCAGAGCCATGCCACAACATTTACAATCTGAGTGCTCAGAGCCAAGCCACAATATTTACAATCTGAGTACTCAGAGCCATGCCACAACATTTACAATCTGAGTGCTCAGAGCCATGCCACAACATTTACAATCTGAGTGCTCAGAGCCATGCCACAACATTTACAATCTGAGTACTCAGAGGCATGCCACAACATTTACAATCTGAGTACTCAGAGCCATGCCACAACATTTACAATCTGAGTACTCAGAGCCATGCCACAACATTTACAATCTGAGTACTCAGAGCCAAGCCACAACATTTACAATCTGAGTACTCAGAGGCATGCCACAACATTTACAATCTGAGTACTCAGAGCCATGCCACAACATTTACAATCTGAGTACTCAGAGCCATGCCACAACATTTACAATCTGAGTACTCAGAGCCAAGCCATAATATTTTCGATCTGAGAACTCGGATTGTAAATGTTGTGGCTTGGCTCTCCAACGAATTGGCACGTTCTGTTACCGTGACAACTCTTACTAGTTGGCTGTGTCGGGTGGTGGCGGGTTTAACGACACATTTATATATTTACGCGATCTAACCCAAAAAAAAAACCTGTGTTATGGATTATTTTGGTTGCGAAAGCCAATGTGTTAAACGGAGCTTTTTTTGGTTTCCCCACTGAAATCCACTTTGCGCACTAACAGACACCAATGCCGGACAAGCCTCACAGAGACGAGAAGGAACAATCCACTCTCAACCTTAATAGAATCCATTTACAACAACAACAACAAAAAACAACCCTTGTCTTGTCATTTTGACCAATAAAAAGGTACAATTATACAGCATGGGTCACGGAAGTCCATAGGCTGATGAAGTGGAAGACTTTTATTTATTTGTAGCGATGGATTATGTGTGAATATACACGTGCGTTCGTGCGTGTATGTTCATGGTGGCACAGTGGGGAGCGGTAGTGTAGCGGTTAGCGCACGGCGCTATGAACCCCGTGACCCGGGTTCGATTCCCGCTCATGACCAAGACCAGTGACGATTATCTGAACCAGTCATGGGCCTTCAGTAGGTCGACTCAGCCTCACATGAGTATCTGGTGCGGTGTGTAAACATCGCCACTGGGGAGACAAAGGCGGTCAGGCGTGGTGCTGGCCACTCTCCTCCCTCGTGTGCCAGGCCGGCCTTCGTAGGTGCTTGCCAACAGCACTTGCCCCAACAGTCCGTTGCAGGCTATACGGGGGATATTTGTCTTTGTCTTTTGGTGGTGGCACAGTGGGGAGCACAGGTGGTGTATCTACCAAATAATCGCTGCCTCCTGACCTCATTCCAGCGAGCCTTGGACACTTCACGTGACCTCCAAGTGCACCCTAGCCTGGCCCAAGCACTGAGATGACATCATTGTCAGTTAGTGGCAAGTGGTGGTGGTGGTTGTTGTTGTTGTTGTTGTGGTTGTGGTGTGCATGTGTGCCAGAACAAGTACGTTTGCAAGAGCACTTTGGTGTCGGAGAAAACAATATCATGAGAGCCCACAGCGTTGTAGCAGTGATCAGCCACGGCGGAAGAATTCGTCCTGCCGTGTTTCAAATCTGCCTTGTGCTCGCGAATACGGTTTGATATGTGTCGTTTCGTTTCCCCAATGTAGCAATCACCACAAATACAACTCAGTTTGTAGACTCCAGGATACTGCAAGTCAGGAATGACATCTTTTACGGATGGGATCAGATCACGGATTTTGTGTACTGTACTGAATCGGACCTGAATCTTGTGTTTGTTTAAGATTTTCGAAATATTTTTGGTAAGGCCTGCTATGTATGGCAACGTAATGGTTTTTTGAAGTGCAAGTCAGAATGACATCCTTTACGGATGGGATCAGATCACGGATGTTGTGTCCTGTACTGAATCGGACCTGCATCTTGTGTTTGTTTAAGATTTTGGACATCTTTTTGGTAAGGCCTGCTATCTATGGCAACGTGATGGTTTTAATTTCCCCAAAAACAATGTTATGCCCAGCTTTTCGTACCTACATTTGCAATCGCACAATAAAACGTATACTAACATCTTTATAATTACATCTTCCGTCCTAAGACGGGCTAACAAGCTAGTCTAAATATATTTGGCGTCGAAGGTTCATCAGTATCACCATCATAGTCATTTTCACTCATTAATATCACCGAAGCATGTTTTTGAAGTGCTGTAGACGGATGGGGTAGATGAATGGGTAAGAGGTAGCTAGGAGGGTGCATGCCTCCAAAGCAGCCCCAATTGTTTTGTAATTTTGACAAATACAATTCTACAGCATGGGTCAAGAAGGTCCACAGACTGAAGAATTGAAATAAATAAAAAAGCCTGTGTGTGCGTGCTCGCTAACAGCGCTTGCCCCAATAGTCTGTCGGCTATATGGAGGATCTTTATCTGTGTCCGCACGTGAATTTCAACCGTCGCATCACCCACGGTGATCCACACTAGCGCATAATGAACTTTCATATAATTCAGCACAATTGTATCTACAGTGGTACCCTGGAGATCGAACTTAATTCGTTCCAGAAGTCAATTCGAACACCGATTTGTTCGAACACCGAATTAATTTTCCCCACAAGAATGAAAGTAAATGACATGAATTGGTTCCAGACACAAGACATCTCTCATTATGAAGCATTTTTACACGAAGTTTACAGTAATTACATGCATAAAATCTTACAATAAAACAACAAATGCAATAAATAAATTGAGACATTGTGTATGGATAAACACCAAAAACACTAAAATAAAGGAAATTTACCAAAAAGTTAAGGAACGATGTTTTGCGGATAACTGCACTGGGTGAGAGCTACGTGTTAACTGAGCCTCTCATACGGTAAAACCTTTGTCTGGGCAAGCGTCATGCACGCTGGGCCATACGCGTTTCAGCCATACAGGTTCTTTCAAGTCACGATTGCCCGTTCGACCTGAGAATTTCGTTCGGTTTCCGGGGCAAAAATGTTCGGAAATATCGTTCGAACACCGATTTGTTCGAGTTCTGGTGTGTTCGATCTCCGAGGTTCTACTGTATAAAGCATTGCAGAGCAAGCATATGCTCCAACAAAGATCTCTCATACAAAAGACAAACCTTAACATCGCCTGCCTAATGTTAGCTATGCAGAAACAACAAAAAACCTCGACATGCTTATCAATAAATGAATATTAGTTATAATCCCCCCAGCATTGCATTGTCAATGGGTCATCACCTGCAGTGGCCACTTTTTTTTTTAAAGAAAGTAAAACCCCACCACAAAACAATCTGACAATTATTTACCACCACATTTGCACAAGATACAGCATGACATTATTTGAATTTCTATCGCGTCCAAACGTGGCATCATGTCAAAAGGCTGCACTTGAATCTGCGGGCATATTTATTTACTACTCTACTATTTTTATTTTACCAGGTAAGGCCCACTGAGCTTTTTAGCTCTTTTTCAGAAGCGACCTGGCCACGAATTATAACCCAATGAAGTAGCTTATCGTGTGGAAATCTATAGCAGCTAAATACATGTTTCTAAATGTGGAGGGAAAAACCAGAGGACCCAGAGAAAAGTCCACGCGACCATGGGGAGAACATGCAAACTCCAAATATACAAGCATCAGGGTCGGGATCGAACCCACGACCTCCTGTATACCAGGCGAGGTAGTTAACATCTCGCCATTGTGGCGAGAAGTTAAAGAGAGGTAGCCAGCCATAGGTCGAGGAGAAATTAGGTAATGTCCTTAGACTTGAAGAGGGTGCAGGGAGTGTGCAGCACGGATGACAGGGGGAGTGGAGTTCCAGATCATTCGGAAGCAGAGGAGAATGAGAGAACAAGTGACCTTCCACCGAGC